TTTTTTTTTTTTTGGCTATTTTAAAAAAACAACATTATTTCCTATCTTTGCAATTTCTTTGGGCATGCTGTAGATCAGTGGTGGTGAACCTATGGGATGTGGGCTGCAATGCATTGTTTGTTAGCATTGAAAGCTCTAAAAGGTTCACCATCACTGCTCTAGATTATAATTGTACTTCTGAGATTATTACTGTTATGGTTGATACATTGTGTCAACTTGGGGAGTCTAGAGGTTTGGCTAAGTGACTCAGCAGGAAGCCAGGGTGCTTACTTTGTATACATCCTGAGCCTGTGGAAGAGGAGGGCATGGAGATTATGTGAGAGCTACACACCCCTTAGGTGGGGGTAGTCTGTTTACAAAGTAAGGCAGGGAAAGAAGCTGCTTGCCTCCATTCCTCCGGTTTGCTCTGGCTGCTTTGCTGTTCGGCTGCCATTCCCCTCTTTGCTCTTGTTGCTTTGCTACCTTCTGCCTCGGAGCCAGCCAAGTATGGACTGAAACCTCCACAAACTGTAAGCTAAATAAACCTTTCCTTCCTTCATTTTGAGTGTTGAGTATTTTGTCTCAGCAACGAGAGAAAAGTAACCAAGACAATTACAGTTAGAAATAATTATACTACCACAAACCAGGATGCTAAGAATAGAATTAATAACAGCTACCTTATATTGGACTCTTAATATGTGGTATGCATAGTGCAAAATATCTTTATGATAACGTATATAAAGAAAATAAGATTTCAAGAGGTATTTATCTGCTATTTCAAGAACTAAGAGACCACCAGATCAGAATTTGAACTGAAGTCTGCTTGCACTTTAAACTCCCCAGTGTTGCCGGGTACAGTGGTGCATGCCTGTAATCCCAGCACTCGGGAGGCTGAGGCAGGCGGATCGTTGTGAGTTTGAAACCAGCCTGGGCTACAAAGTGAGCTCAAGGCCAGCCTGAACTGCATAGTGAGACCCTGTCTCAAAAAGACAAACAAACAAACAAACAAACAAACAAACAAAAAACAACTCTCCAGTGTGTTGCTGTTGGCTGGCATGAACCGCAGTGGCAGTTATGCCTTCTGTATTCTATGTGCTCTAGCTCTACTAATTTAGACTAAGATTGTGTTAATGTTTCTGGCAACAATATCATAGCACTGAGTTATATTAAAGTTATATTCAACAAAATCCAGCAAATTTTAATAAGACCTTAAATACATGCACTTCCATCTGGTTTGGCCTTCTCATATTACTGTATAAAACTTTCAGTATAAATACAGGACTTCGGGGCTGGGGATTTAGCTCAGCGGCAAAAGCGCCTGCCTGGCAAGCGCAAGGTCGTGAGTTCAGTTCCTGGTACCAGAGAAAAACCAAAACCAAAAAAAAATAAAAAATAAAAAATACAGGACTTCATGTTCATGTTTTCATCCTCCATCTTGTGGATTTTGGTCCAAGTTTTTAGGTTGCCAAGATAATTTCCAATTTTGAGTCTGTCATAATGATATCAACTCTTTCTTTGGGTAAACATCATGTGCATCTTTGACACATATCCTTGCTTTGTGTTTAGTTAGCTGTTGATACAATTTCAAACAGATAAGGGTTGCACAAAGATTCTATACAGTATATTTGTTTTTTCTGAGTAGTTTTGAAAAGTACTTTTCTAAAGTCTAGGACATATGCTTGGCCATGTTTATGGTTTTTTCCTTAATCCTAATACAATAATATGAGCGCTTTAGTTCAAGAATCTGTTACAGTGATGATAATATCAGTTACAATTGTTTGATGGGAAATAGTTTAGTAGGTATTTTACTCTTCTAATGAGACTTCTAGTCAAAGACATTAGGATAGTTGAAACTCCTCATTGTTTACAGTAGGTTTTAATGCAAGCTTTATAATCTTTTGGAAGAAACCATCATCTGTACTTCTTTCCAGATAGATACTGTATAGTATACCAGTATGACAGTTGAATTCAACTTTGATATTTTAATTCTATACTTTCATTATTTAATATAATTCCATTATAGTAAGTCACTGACTTACAAATATTTGAGTTGCTAACTTTGACAGATACCAACAGACCTTGCATTTAGTTTTCTTATGCTTTACTTTATATTTGTGACAAAGGTGTATAAGACTCACTTTATCAGACTTCTAAATGAATCCAACTTAAGAATGTAAGTTGAAGGCTTCCTGTATTAAAAACTGTTAAGCTCCAATAAGCAATGTATTAATTATTGTAACTCTCCTACTAACCTGTTTTGAAACTGTTTTGTTGTTATTTTTTCTCTTTAAAATGAAAAAAAAATTATTAAGACCATGGGTTTCTAAATAGCAGTAATTTCTGGAAATAGCTGGACTTGTCTTTAAAAATTACTGGATTTTGGGACTAGACTGTGTGAGCATGAGCAAATCACTTAAACTTTGTAGGTCTCAGTTTTTTGAGATATAAAAGAGGGAAAGTACTATTACTTATTTTTTGGATTACAAGAGCAGGGTAGGATTGTAAAACCAGGTAACTGTAGTGGCTTACTTGATAGCTTAGTTACTGTCTTGTTGCCAGGACAAAATACCTGATACCCACAAGTTAAAGGAGAAAAGGTTTATTTTAGCTCACAGTTTGTAGAGATTTCAGTCCATAACTGGTTCCGAGGCATGGTGGTATGGCAGAGGGGCATGGCAGAAGAGAAACAGTCCATGGCAGTCCAGAGAGAAGGCAGCAACTCTGCCTTCCAACTTCACCTTTATATTCCATCTAGGCTACAAATTTATCGGTTGGTGCCACCTACATCTAGGGTGGGGCTTCCCCTTACCCGCTCCCAGAACTATGCTAAACCAATCAGTGGAGTAACCCAATTATCAATTATCACCAACCCTTAATCCATATTTATACACCTCAGAACTAGCCACCTCAAAAAAAAATCCACCTATGAGTGCATAAGGCTTTGGGAGGATAACTAGATACAAGCCATAACATAGGAATAATGTGTTTGTCTTGCATAAAAAGACAATCTAGTTAATAAAGACTAGTTTATAAAGAGTCTTTAGTCTCTTTCCATTTTTTTGGTTCAGTATCCTTAGTGTTTAGTCTTTTACTGTCTTTCTTCTTGACTCATGGCTGCAAAATAAATAATATAACTATGGGCTTCATGTCTATGTTTGATGTATAAAAAGCAGAAAAGAATAAAAGAAATTGGAAAGACTGGTTGTCTCTTAGTGAGGCCTTGATTTTTAATTCAGCAAAGAACATGATCTTTGGGATGTCTTTTATTTATTTATTTATATTTTTATTTTAAAGAGAGTAATTAAAAAAAGAACAATAGCAAAATAACAACATGACAGACATAAACAAAACAAAGCAAGAACATTAAAATGATATAGGGTTTCAAAACAAAATGATAGGAGTTAACCATGTTGTTATATTACATATTGTTATCGTCCTTAATTTTTTTAATAATAATTTTTTTGTATTCTCTTTAATGGTTTGAACAATCTTCCATTCTTATACCTGGTAATCTGAGCAACTTAGTTGGGATGTTTTATTGTAACTCATTGGCCAGAACTGTTATATGGGTACTCTTTGCCTGAAGGAAAGTTAGGAAATTGTGCAGTATAGTTTTCAATCTCTATACTAGAGGAAGTCAAGGAAAAAGAATTGTGTTTGCCTTTGGGTCAGCCAATCAAGAATATCTGTGACATCCTTTAGTGGGTGTATTGAAAGATTCAGTGAGACATTTTATTTAAATAGTTATGTATAGTTTAAATAATAAATGATTCACTCCTGTCTCCTGACAGTTTTAAAAATGGCAGTGTATCACTGAATTAATTCATTCTTATTTTGTTTTGAAATTTTTTGTTTTAATTTGTAAAATGAACATATTTCTGCTTTTGGGAAACATCCTATAAGATTATTTCCTTTTTTATTTTAAAAGTAAAAAACAAAAACATTAACAAACAGACAACTATTTACAAAGTAGCACAAGTATAGTACAAGCAATAATAAATTACAGACAAGGTGACAGGGAGTTAACAATGGTTGTTGCATTACATATTGATAACTTCAAAGTGGTTACTCAGGAAAACAAATATAGATGTGAAAGATTGATCAAATCATTAATCATTAACTGTTTCTTTCAATAAAGTGGTATAAGTCAGTAGTACAACTATGTTTGCTATCATGTATATACATATATACATAACTTTCCCCTTCTTTCTTTTCTCTTTTCCCTCATCCCAGTTGCTCTTTACTATATGATTGTTTCTCTTTGAAGGAGCCTGTTTTGGGGGTAGTCTGTCTGCTTTGACAGAAAAATTATACTGAAGTATAAAAAGTGGCTTGTCATTAATAGGAAAATAGTTGAGGAAGAGGCAGATGTGCAGAGTGGCTCTAGATCTCTTTTTGTTGACTTCATTGACTCACAATTTTTTTTTTCTGGATTCAAAGAGTTTTTACTGGGCTACAATGAAGTTATTTCCCCAGAGGTATATGAAAAATAACAAGAAATCTTGACCAGGTTACCCCTTGGCTGGTAACCCTAACCTGGATGGAGTGGCCTGGCTGGGAGATGAATTTGAAAGTAGGCCAAGTATTCAGAATGCACATGGTGGAGCTATCACCTGGTCCTACAGCGTGAGATAGAGGAAATTATCTTCATAGTCACTAGTTTTCAAAGTTATATTGTTATTCTCCATAGAAAATAATAAAAAGATGTTGAGAAAAGGCCACAGAAATTAAGGGTAGAGTTGAGATAAAAAGGAGAATGTATGAGTAAATCTTTCACGAGGCTAGAAGGACCTAAAGAACAGAGAAATCTTCAAAGAATTTGGAAATAACCAGAGGAACTTGCAGAATGTGTTGTGGGGTTGAAGATTATTACTTCTGCATCTCTTCAGTTTGATGAAAATGCTGGTAGTTTATAAAATCTGTCATTTTGGATGAAATAAGACTTTGGTGTGTTTTTTACTTTGTTTTAGATTTTGGTTTTGCTGCCTGCCTTCTTTCTTTTTTTCTTTCTTTTTTTGTAGACATTGTTCGAAGTGATGTTGCCTTGGATAAACAGAAAGGCTGCAAGATTGCCCAGCACCCTGATATAATGTTGGAGCTTCAAAGAGAGAAGGCAGCTCAGATGCATCTGGTTCTTCTAAAGGAGCAATTCTCCAACACTTACAGTAACCTCATATTAACAGGTAAGGCCACTGGAGTTGGCTAGAATCCTGGAGCATTATATTGATGACCTTTGTTAGTTAGCAAATTGATGCATGGGGACACTAGTGTGGATTCCAGATGAGCTCGCGTGTCTGTCTTTACCCACTGTATCACATTTTTAATTATGATGACTCTTGTTTTCCTATAACAAATATTTCTTATAGTTTACAGATGTATTTTGGCTTAAAGTTGTAGGCGATTCAGCATGTTTTCTCAAAGGACAGAACCAATGAGAACCCAATGAAACTTTGTAAAAAATATGACTTTCTAGATGTGTACCGGCAGACTTGAAAGAGTGATTAAATTTGGTATCTTTTAGGAAGCAGCTATTTTCCTCTGTCTGTGTATGCCCCTTCTATGAACCCAGTGAATATAAAGATGTAGTGCAAATGAGATACTGATCTTCAGAAGAGCAGAGACTGTTTTATTCCTGATGGTGTCTGAAAATATCTGGGAATTTGATTTTCTTTTTAGGAGTACAGAGACTTTGAGACTGAGCCATATTCCCTTACATCCATAGTTCTATGAAGAAAGCAAATGTGTGTCAGAGCTACAAAGAGATACAACCTTTCTCAGGGCTGTCTGCAAACTTTGCTGGTAAAAAGCATGCAAGTCACATGCATTTATTAAGCTTTGGAATACATTGTATGTAATCTCAGACTCTAATGTGAGAATCATTTAGAATTTGAGATAAATTAAGAAGAGCAGTCCAGGTTACTTCCATTTTCTTAAAAGCATGCAAGGCATATCTGCTTATTGATCTGAAAGAACTTTAACAAATCTAAATTGTGTGTTTTTCCTTATTTCTTTTTTAAAAAATTTATTTTAAAAAAATAAAAGAAGGAAAACATATTAACAAACAGACATCCATTTACAAAATAGCATAAGAACAATACAAACAGAACAGAGTTACAGACAAAGTTGTAGGAAATTAACAATGGTTGTTGTATTACTTATTGATATCTTCAAAGTGGTTTCTCAGGAAAGCAAATAGAGACATGCAAGATTGATCAAACAAGTAGTCATTAACTGTTCCTTTCTGTAGAGCTTATTCTGAATATTAAAAAAGAAAAGGATGGAATATCTGACAGGCTATGGATATCACATACTTACTTGTGTGAACTCCAAGTTAGAAGAATTTTAACTTTTTAAATAGACTCCCTGGTATTTCACCAGGAATTGCTGAGTGGCAACCAAATCGTTTTGCTTTTCAGAGAGCATAGGATTCTCTCCGCTTCTCATTTTTTTGTTGTTTGTTTTGCCTTGTTTTTGGAGACAGGGTCTTGCCATGTAGTTCAGGCAGATCTTGAACTCACTGTATAGCCAGGCTGGCCTCAAACTCACAGCAATCCTCCTGCCTCAGCCTCCCAAGTGCTGGGAGTACAGGCATGTGCCACCATGCCCAGCTCCACTTTTCATTTTGAACCTGGCAGAAACCCAAGAGCATGAGATAAAAGCCAAGTTTAAATGTGACTTTGGTGAGAAGAGCAGAAAATTATGGATTTCTTAAGTATATGTCCTGCTTTTTGCTGTTTGATAACTCATTAAGCAAGGAACAGTTAAAGTAATTTATAGCCAATGGATGTGTATTACTAAAGTGGTTGGTGAAACTGAGTTTAAGTTTAGGTGTTTGAGAATAACATAAATTTTTCTCTACATTTCTTCCATCTACCTCAGATATAAATCTGTATCTATCTATCTATCTATCTATCTATCTATCTATCTATCTATCTCTATATATCATCTATATCTATAGCTGTCTATACTTCTTTCCAATTAAATGATTAGAAATGAAATATTTTGTTCTACCCTTATTTTTATATTTTTAGACATATACTACCCTGTGTTCTTTAATGTGGCATGGAAAAGTCTTAGGGTAATTCTAACCCTAAACTGTGGATTCAGATTGTGGCTTGAAGGCATATTATCTTTGGAAACACAAGTATTCTATTGAGTTCAATGGAATCTTTTCCAATTCTCAGTAACATAATCCCTTTGGATGTTTATTCACAGTTCAAAATGTTGGAATCAACATTGTCAACTTTTACCCTGACAACTTGCTTACTTTCTACTAAACAAACTTACCCTGGAGAAGAGCCTTTTTCCTGCTCTCACTCTCTCAAGCTGCTTCAAAGAGTTCTCAGGCATTTTCCACATATTTCACCCAAATGCCTGTGCAGAGGTGGTACCTTGCAGCACACGGAGCATTTGGTGTGCCCTGGTTTGTTTAAATGAAAGTTCAAAAAGTTTTGGTTCCAGGTGTTGGGAAGAGATGGCATCATTTCAGTTTAGCACCGATGACTAAACTATTTTAATGGCCTTTTACTAAGCCTTTGATTTTACACAGTGTGGTTTTCTAATTGTTATGAAGTTTAATCCTTGATTTCTTATATAAATCTTGAGAACATGGTCTCCAGACAGCTAAACATAATATTTAAACATAACTAAACTAAGTTTTGTAAATATTTCCCTTTTCAGTGATGAATGTATATTGGTAAGGAGGGTGAGGTTGAAGGAGCAGAGACCTTTCAAATGAAGTGACTTTCTTTACCAATGCATTCAGAACACCTACTCTCAGACTTCTGGTTGGTGATATGCAGCTTACTTTGTATAATTCTGGCATAATATCTGAAATATTTGCAATGTGGTATTTATGTGGGATTATGATGAAGAAATTGGGCCACTAAAATCTCAGACAGATCTTTTTCAACCCCCTTCCCGCTATTTACAGAATTTCATATACATGACTAGGAGTGTATAATCATTTTCTAACTAGTCAGTGATATATTTTTTATTTTTAAGATGGTACAACCAAGATCCCATATAGTAAAAACATTAATAAGGTGTTTGAAATGTCAGGTGCTTAAAAGCATGTCCTCTACCTCACAAGAAAGAGCTTATTTTTATGTTTCCCTTATAGCTGACGTGATTGTTAGCTGTTAAGATGAGCATATGTTTGCATATCATACATTTTAGCTAATGATATTCAAAAAATAGTTATACTTCATATAAAGACAAAGATTATTCTAGCTTTGCAGGTCTTTTATCTTGCTAAAAGAAAACAACTCTACAGTCAATAATAATGACAGTTATAGGAACTACAGTACATATACATATATAATATACATATATATTCTGTTGAATTAGTCCTCAGTACATCATACTTTTAGAAAAGTGGATTGTTTTCATGTATTTCTGCATAGTTTGAAGCTTATTTTAATATTCTCGTATTGTGCTGATGTAATTTTATCTTCATCTAGCATGGAGGGTTTTTGTAATAAGCTGGAGTCACTGCACTCCAGGTCACTGGAGTGATTCCAGTAGAGCATCAGTGGTGGAAATACTTAAATGGTACTGAGTAGAGCACCACATTTTCACACTGACTCACTGCCACGAGTACACATGCTTGTCCTGCAGTTCTAAATATGAGAGCATCATCATCGTGCACCTCACTGAAGGAGTGGCAGATGAGAGCAAATGAGTGAGAATTGGCAGATGTCTTTAAGAAAGAACAGAGATCAGATGTCATACACTTGTGATTCTTAATATAGTAATGCTCTATAAATTTATTAAATATTATGTTATGCACACAATGAATTAATTCACCTGAAGACCACTTTTAAAGGGATAATATTCAGATGTTTTAAATAATTTTCACAGGTTCAGATTCAGTCATTTGTGTTCAGTCTCCTCGCTCTTCGCTTTTGAAGGTGTAAAATAAAGTTTTCTGATGGATCCCTCTACTGTAATAAACAAAAAAATAAAAATTAAATCAGCTTTAAGGATAAATACATTTTGTAGGATTGTTTAGAATGAAATACCTGGAGGGCAAGGAATATAATATTTGTGTAGCATTTTGGATCCTATGTAGAGCCTAATAAATGATTGTGAGCTGAGGTCAAGTTTTTAACAATGTATTTGTGTTGTGAAGTGATCTGGTCAACCTTTCATATCCAGGTGCTTGAAACTACGAAGCCATTATAAATGGATGGCATTACTCAGACATACTCCCTTATTCCTTTGCGAGGAGCCTTATGTGATTGTCATTTTGGGGTTTGTACCTTTTTCTTCAGTCATTAGACTGAACTAGACTGAGATTTATGTAGTCTGCTTTCCTGTGTTACGGTGGCAAGTGAATTGAACAAAAGATTTTGCTTCTCTGTTGTGGTCCAGTTTGCTAACTTCAGTAGAGCCAAAAGGCTCACATCAGTGAACAAGAGCTGTTCTTTCAGTTTCCAAACCATAACACTCAGGGGACTGTTTCTAGGTAGGCATAAGACTGCAATAGCCAACAAACACACAAAAAATATTTTTTGAGTTGAATTCTTTCTCTATAGCACCTTTCTTGATCATTCTAACCTAAAGAGATATTTTCTTCATTTTCACTGTTATTTAACAATTGTCTATGCCATTAATTTGGCAAGTTCCATCAATACTTATTGATATCAATTATGTGTCAAAATTAATTTTGTTAGTGGTTCAAAAAATCACTTGTGTTCTCTAGATGTCTCCTGTAGCTTTTCAGTAAAGTGATCCACTTCATGTTATTTATGACATTCCGGGTCATTCATCTGCCCCTATTTTCTATTTGCCTTTATCCTCTGTTTGCCTCTCTGCCTTCCTCTTTCCTGTCCTCAACTTAAGTGAATGTTTTATAAATTTATCTTTAAAATCTATAGCATCAGATGTATTCCATATTTCCTTCCATCCTACCCACATGTGGGGAGAAGTCTGATGTCTTCAATTTTCCACATCTTCTTTTAGCTCATTTAAATTCATCTTTAAAACTTCTTTTTAACAGTAGCATCACATGTTATATTAGTTTGAGGGGGTAAGGAAACATATAGCTTGTTGACTTTTTGCTTTGTCCTAAAAATAAAAATATGGGTGCTGGGGATATAGCTCGGTGGCATAAGTGCTTGCCTGGCAAGTCTGAGGTCATGAATTTGATTCCCGGGACCAGAAAAAAGAAATAAAAATA